TGTTTTGAAAATAAAAAATTTTTTTACAAAAAAAAAAAAAAACCAGGGTTCCAGTATTTTATGGGCGGCCACAAAGCAAGTTGGGGGGGGGGGGGGGGGGAGTGTCAACCTATTCTCCATAGCACCGGAAAGCAGAATAAGAAGCAATGGGTGGAAACTAATGAAGGTGAGAAGCAACTTAGAACTGAGGAGAAATTTCCCGAGAGAACAATTAATCAGTGGAACAAGTTGCCTCCAGAAGTTGTGAATGCCGCAACATTGGAAGTCTTTAAGAAGATGTTGGATAGCCATTTGTCTGCAATAGTATAGGGTTTCCTGCCTAGGCAGGGGGTTGGACTAGAAGACCTCCAAGGTCCCTTCCAACTCTGTTATTTATATTAGTCTGTCCTGACTGACTCCAGTAACCAACTTACTTACAAGTATAAGAGTACGGTTTGAAAATTTCCTTCATACGTGATTTTTGATGATGCGCCCCGGTGGCACAGAGGTTAGAATGCAGTACTGCAGGCTACTTCTGCTGACTGACGGCTGCCTGCAATTTGGCAGTTCAAATCTCACCAGGCTCCAGATTGACTCAGCCTTCCATCCTTCCGAGGTCCGTAAAATGAAGATTGTTGGGGGCAAATATGCTGACTCTGTAAACCACTTAGAGAGGGTTGTAAAGCACTAGGAAGTGGTATGTAAGCGCTATTACTGTTTTTCCCTTCCATTTAACAGTTTGATATAGACAAAGAAGCAGGGGAAAGGCAGATATACCACAGATACTGCATGGAACGGGCCTCGGTGCATTGTGCACATGTGTTCACCACGGTCTCTCAGATAACAGCCATAGAAGCGGACCACATGTTGAAGAGAGCAACTGGTAAGAGCCATCTTCCTCCCACCATATGGCACAAAGGTATTTCCTAAGTAGTGAAATTAGGGGGGAGACCAACCACGACAGAGTAATGTTGAAATCCTGCTGCTAATGTGGACTCCTTGGTGCTCTCTGAAATTAGCTGTTTTCTTGCAGGCGTTTCATTACGCAGTGCTGGGGAATGAAATGCCTGTAAGAAAACAACCAATTTCAGAGCGCATTAAGGACCCATAGTCCTCTTCCCCCCCTCCTCCTCTTCCTCCTCTCCTCCTCCTCCTTTCCGCAACCCACACACCAGTTGTGGGTTTCAAAAATTGTTCGAACCTACTCTGTGGGTGTGGCCTCCTTTGTGAGAGTGGCTTGCCACCCATGTGACCGGATATGAAGATGCCGATGACACTTGTCAGAACGCCCTTAAATTACCTCACACACAGCACTGGCATGCATAAGAATAGGATGTAAACTTGTTTTTTAAAAGGCATCTTTGGTTTGCGTTAAAACAACTT